ATTGGACAGCCCCATAAAACAGAACAGCGCTAATGAGGCACACCAGTCCAGGGACAAGGGCTAGAAGGCAGAAGGAGACAGGAAAGCTGGTGATACGGCACCCAAGGTTGAGTAAGGACAGTGTTGACGTGTAGTGAGGGTGTTAACCATTGTCATAGGGCAACATGTGTACTAACTGTTAAATGAGAAACTATTCTGTTCTGTAAACCTTTATCTAAAGTGAGAATAGCAGCACAACTGGAAGAGCGTAGTCGATGTCACTGAACTGTGCACGTCGAAATTTTTGAAATGGTGTGTATCTTTGGCTATGTATATTTTCACCGAAAAAAAAAGGTCGAGAAGGGAGGGAGTTGACATGTCATTGGGTTGTTAACCAACGTCATAATACAGTATGTGTACTACTGTTTAATGAGAAACTATTTGTTCTGTAAACCTTCACCTGAAGTACAATTAAAAAAAAAAAAAAACCACAAGGCACTGAGCAGTGTGTTTGGGACATTCCCATTTGCGGTTAGAGGGTTGAAAAAGGAGATATAGCTAGGCAGATACGACTATGCATATAGAGAAAATTTCTTAACAGCGGTTGTTTCTTTGGATGGGGCCTGAAAGCACAGCACAGAAGGGAAACTGATGTGTCACTGTATACCTCTTTGTATTACTTAGGACTTTTTAGTGCTTATGCTAATTGTTCAGTAGAAAAATTATTCAAGTATTAACTAGAAAATTGCTTTAACAACTGTTCTACCTAAATAAGTAGTTTTTAAGAATAATGAAAAATACATCTTCTGATACTGAAATGGTTTCAAATTTTAAATTTTACCCTTCAATCACAGATCTCATTCTAAATCTTTCCCCTCCAATGGTAAATACACACACACACGTAAAATAAAATCTAGTCAATTCTTTGAATTATTACACAATAGAAATCAGTAGGATCCAAATGTATGAGATTTTATTTTAAAAGCAGTCTCTTTTTTCAATACTTTTTAAAAAAGGTAATTTACAATACTTTTTCTCATGTTAAAAATACTTTTGGCATGCAAAAGGCTTAAAAGTATGAATTCAAACTCATTGTATTTCAGAACTGAAAGGGGCCACCGAAGTTATTGAATTTAATTTCTCAGATGAAGCAACTGAAATTGGGGAGTTGAGAGAGCTGCACAAAGTCAGAGTAGGACAAGGGTAGAGCTGACCTCCTGGTTTGAGTCCACTATTCTGTCCTAATTAGTTTCATTTGTTAGAAATAGTACAGATCAGGTAGGTGAGACAGAGGCAGAGTTTCTGGATTTGGCTTTCTGAGGGGTGACAGAACACAAAATCTTTTAGAGTAGATACCTAGCTGTTAGAGTAAGGTCTGGCAGGGAAAGATGAAGGAAAGGGACCTATCAGCACTAATTAATTTCCAGTCACATCACTTGGTCCAATACTAGAGCAACTCAATTCTAGTTCTGAATAAACTTAAGAATGGTAAATGGGAAATAATGCTGAATCAATTCTTAACTTTTGAAAATAGTTTACAGTGGGAGGCAGTATCTTTTAATCCACAAGAAATACTTAAAATACCTACTGGAAGGCAGCTCTAGGGTCAAGGGAATTTGAATGTGTTTCTTTTTTAAGAGAAAAAGAAATCTATTCAAACTTCCTTTGGCAGGTTTGTGATAGTATGGCTGCAAGAGAAGTCTTGTAAAGAGTTTCCTTATGTTTTTCTGACAAGGCAATTAACTCGATCCCAATTCAATGTTAAAAAGAGTTGAATTTTTTTTTTTAATGTACTACATGTGTACTTTACAATTTACCTGAGTCCTTTTGATAATCATGTACATGCTACAACATTATGATTTTTTCATAACATTTATGATTTTCTTCATTTCATACGATAATTACCCATTTAATGATTATAGAGTTTTAAGATAATTGCAATTTCCTTTATGACATACTGTTGGTCGTATCTATGATTAATTTGCAACTACATCCTTGGTGGAGCCGTGGTGTTAGGAATGCAATCCTGTCAGTATTCTGAGGTTTTCAGACAGAATTGTTAACTATACCTTCAGCCTCTATTAGAGGCCAGTCCCAGGCCCAGTAAGCAATGGTCCAGTCTGGCAGTCACTAAAAGAAACCACCTGTTGAGGGAATTGCTAATGAAGTTGCTAATAAAGGAATTGCTTATATAAGTTATATCAGTGATTCTCAAAGAGTAGTATGGGGACCCCTAAAGGTCCCTGAGTACTTTCAGGGTTCTACAAGGTCTAAACTACTTCATAATAATAAGATATTATTTGCTGTTTTCACTCTTATTGTCTCATACGTGTATAGTGGCATTTTCCAAAGGCTACATGATGTGTATATTGTACAATAAAATGTGCAAACATCTGGAAAACATACAAAACTCAATGAACCAGTATTTTCCAAATGATCAAAGCACAATGTTACAAGTTCATGCATGGGTAAAACATACATTCAAAAGGCCTGAAAGAACATGGATTTTAATGTGACAGAGTACAAAAAGTTCACTGATATGGTTTCAGATTCCACGTGGAAACTAACCTTTAAGAAACACGATTTGCTGAGTTTTGGTATGGTATCAAAGAAAAATATCCAGTTATCTGAAAAGGCTATCAAAATACTCCTCCATTTTCTAACCACTGTACAAATCTGTGTGAGGCTGAATTTTCTTTAGGTTTACCAACAAAAACAACACATTACAACAGACTGAATACAGAAGCGGATATGAGGATCCAGCTGTTCTCTATTAACCCATACTTAGGAGGTTTGCAAATACATAAAACAATGCCTCTTTTGTCCCAATTTTTTTTTTTTTTGGTAAAGTTATTTTTTCATTAAAAATTTATGATAAAATGTAATGAGTTATTTTTTAAGTGAATTAAGAAACAGTTTTAAATGTTCTCAATTTTCATGTCTAATATGATAAACATCAATAGATATACCGACATAAACAAAAGCTTTTGGCACAAGGGTCCTCAATAATTTTTAGAATTATGAAGGGGTCTTAAGACCAAAAAGTTTGAGAACTGCTATGGGGACTTAAAACTGCTGGCTGCACTAAAAATGCTTTTCTGCTATAAAAGTTGGGTTATGCAAATGTTACGGTTTTATTTAAATGCTAAATTTTAAATTAATAATATGCATAATTATTAATATTAGATAAATATATTAAAATAGAGCTACTAACAACTCTATTCAAGAAATTTACTGAGGGATAAACTAAAATAAAGGTATACAGCTAACTCTAAATAAGGAAGTAAATATACAGTCCGATTTAGCTGACTGGACTTTTATGCAGAGGTTAACAAATTAACCTCATCAAGTAGTTCTCCAACCCTGGGATATGGCTGGGACCAGGGAAAATCATATTGCACAAGGTAGGCTGATTTCTAGGAGGGAAAGACAACCATCACAGGGGTGGAGAGGGGTGGAAAGAATGGGAGGAAAGGGTTATCTGCTCTCATACCTCTGGCTGTTTATTTCCCAACCATGTATCCATTTCTAAACCTCTGTACTCCTAAGTGAGATTCTGTGCGTTGTCGCTTCTAAAACCTAACAAAACAAGCCTGCACCCAATTTACAGGTTGATGTTAAGATAACTGGGAGGGAAGGTTTTCCACAGCTCAACTAGTTATAGGTAAGCTTGAGGAATGCTGTTTTTTTCCTAAGAAGAAAATGTAGCTAGCAAGGGGAGTAAGAGTTGTGCCTTGAAATCCTTTCTGGAATGAGACAAGCTATAAACAAATAAACAAAGCTGCCTGCCACAAATTCCAGCTTAAGGACAGACTCTTAAAAAGTTACACCAAAAGAAAAACAAAAAATTAACACCATACGGCCAGCCATCTTAGGAAAGAATAGCGCAGAATTTAAGGATGGAATCACTAAAATTTTACTGAAATTTTAAGGGATACTAAGGACTTTCTTGAGTTTTAATTTGCAAAATGAAACACCACAATCGAACTCCTACATTTTTTTTTTTTTGCGAATAAGCATCTTTTTCTGGCCACTGATGTACACTGGATTTAATAAGCTACTGCCTTTGGGCATGGCATTGGTATATTGCACATGGTGTATTTACAGACTAAGAAGTACCTGACATACCATGTATCAAAAACATCTAATTAATACACTGCAGAAAGGTGGGATTTATTTATAGTTCTGAGTTTCTCTTGCTCAGACAACTCTCATATCAGGCATTATTCCTATAATTTTTCCTACCTTTGCTTTCCAAACTACTTGTCAATTCTAACCATTAGAACTTGACTTAGGGCTTCTGTTTGATATATATACACCTGGTGGCAACTAATATGTGTAACAGCCATGGGGCAGTACTCTTCCTCTCTCCATCTCCAGAGAAAAATATTTTTTAAAGGTCTGTTGTATTCTCAAACTAGTTACTCAACATTCTCCCACCCATCCCCAAAAGATGTACAACTAATTTAATCATTCACAAACATGAACAGAAATACAAACAGAAAACATTGCTCATGTGGCATTTCTTATACAACGGCCCCCAAATGTCAGTTTTACACAGGTGATTAGCGTATCATTTTTAATTTTAGAGAAACAATTGGAAAATCAAACAGAACATTTTTCAAAAATGCCTAAAATCCATGCAGTCAAATCCCACAGTGGTTAAAGTCGGCTGCTTACCAAAAGGTCGCAATTCAAATCCACTAGCCGCTCCTTGGAAACCCTATGAGGCAGTTCTACTCTGTCCTATAGGGTTGCTATAAGTTGGAATTGACTTAACAGCAATGGGTTTTGGGTTTTTTTTAAACATTCATCCATTACCTTGTGGCCCATTAATGTAATGAACTGTTTTACATCTTGTTCTTTAATATACAATCTTAAATTTCTAGTTTCTTACTCACAAAAATAACACTAAAAATAGTTTCAACTTCCAAGCAAATGCCAAACTGCAATAAGCAGTTTAAACCAAGCATATTAAATGCCCAATGAGAAACATAAGGCAACACAATTAGAAATTTTACCTTAATTCTTCTCTCAGTATCATCTAATTTTAATTCTGCTGAGACTAGTTTCTTTGCCAAATCATCTCGTTCAGGCAGGTGTCTAGCTTCAGAGATCTTTTTCAGTTTCTTTAAGGAAAATTTTGTCCTAAATAGTTCACCTTCTGTATCTTTTACCCTCTTCTCAGTTGCCCGTTCTTTCTCTTGAGATTTTCTTAGACGTTCCTTGAGTGCTGTAATCTCATTGTTATGTCGAAGTATAAGTTGTGAAATTTCATTTTCTGTATCTTCAAACTTATTCAGGGCTTTCTCCTGTCTGTACTGAAGCCTTTTCAAAGCCTTATTTTCTTTTAGCAGCTCAGCTAACTTGACCTGAAGTTCAGTCACTTCATTCTGCAACTCATTGATTTTTAGCAGTCTTGCAGAAAGAACTCGTTTTGTAACAAGATCAAGATCTTTCCGAAGTGGTTCCCTATTGAGGCTCTGGGAGCGATATCCCACTCGGACTCCCCTTCTGTTTGGTAGACCCTTAGGGCTTGATTTCCCAGGGGCTAAAAAAGAAACAGTAATAATGTAAAAGAAAGCTGTGCTTAATGCAGTAGTATTTATTCATTCTAACACAGATGATCCTTAACATTCTTTTTTTTCTTTAGAAAAGGATTCTAAATACTTAAAGAATATTCAAACCATCAGAAAAGAAATACAAGTAGCTTACATGGAATTATTTTGCATTGTTTTAAAAGATGGCAGTATCAGGCTTTAGCCATTTTTAACTTTCTATATAAAATGGCAGAAGTAAAACACGGGTGTCATCAGCATCACCATGGTGCGTAATAAATACCTGATAAACACATTGAGATATTCATTTGTGCCAAGATATCTGGAATTATTATTATTATTTGAAATGTGAAATTTTATGTTTTCTCTAAATCAATTACAACTTTTTCTTTATTTGGGCAAACAAGATGAAAGCATACTGTACAGAAGAAAGATGTGGAACTCAGATTTACCACTTAATAACTCCTCGAGCAATTCAATTAAACCCTTTCAAGTCTACTGTCCCCACCTATAGAATAAGGATAACACTACTTGCATAACTAGGTTGTTGTAAGGGTTAAACTGATGTATGTAAAACTGAAAGTGCTACATAAATATTCTACATTAGTAATAAGAGCTTACATCCATTTACTAGTGATTGAAAATGGAAAACACTTAGCAGTACATATGCAACTCTAAATGCTTGCTTCAAGGATTTCTTTTCTGAAACATTCAAATCAAAAACATGTAACACAATTTGAGAACAGGACAAAAACAAAAATTCACATCCTAAAAAATATAAGAATCTGAAATCTTTAAAATATACACATTAAATCACAACATTTCACAAAAATTTGAAATAACGGAATTATTTTTATTTGGTTAAAGTATTATTACTTTAAGTAATAATGATATTATTTTACTCGGTTCAAGATTTCCTGGTACTAATCTTAAACCAAGCACCTGTCTTTTAAAAGAGGCATCTGAAAGTCTGCCACATCTGAGAACAACCTCCAAGGTGACTGCATTTTTTCAAGGATAAAATCATTCCACAGTAAAGAAAATGAAGAAAAACAAGAATAACTAACCTTTCCCTACCCACCTGCCCAACCATGGATACTCTGATTCCATTATGTAAACAAGTACTGAATAACAAATAATATTTACCATTTAATGTTATAAAGTTTCATTTAAAAGACAGAAGATTTTATAGAAGCCGTTATGAAAATGTGCCAATGTGGGATTCCAGCTACGTATACTTGAATATACGAAAAGAATTGGTTTAAAAAAAAGGTGTTGTTGTTAGCCTCCATCAAATTGCTGCCCGGTCCTGCGCCATCTCCATGATCAGTTACAGATTAGATAATGTTCTGTTGGGATCCACAGGGTTTTCACTGGCTGACTTTCAGAAGTAAATTGTCAGGTCTTTTTTCCTAATCCATTTTAGTCTGGAAGCTCTGCGGAAACCTGTTCAGCATCATAGCAACATGCCAGCCACCACTAATAGATGGGTGGTGGCTGTGCATGAGGTGCACTGGCCAGGAATTGAACCTGAGTCTCCCACAGGGGAAGTGAGAATTCTACCACTGAACTACCAAGAGGGAATACCTAATCGCAATTTTGAAACTACACTATCCAATATGGTAGTCACTAGCCATATAAGGCTAATGAGAAATTTGAAATGTAGCTAGTCCAAATTGAGACATAAAATACATACTAAATATCGAACACTTAGTACTAAAAAGAAGAATGTAAAATATTTTACACTGTTTTATACTGAATATATGTAGAAACTATAATATTTTGGATATGTTGGGTTAAATAAAAGGTATTAAAATTAATTTCACCTGTTTCTTTTTACCTTTTTTATTGTGCAGCTTGCATTTGTGGCTCACATTTCTACAGGACAATACTACTTTTAGAATGTAATCTTAAATTTGCGGGGTCCACCATTTCAATTTTCTGTCTTTCCCACATTCTGAATTAATAGTTTTGGTATGTATGCTATTATGAAATATGTACTCAGCTCTTGGAATGACAGAAACTTTATACATAAAAATGATCATACATAAAAATGAATTTAACTGTTTCAAGTTTCTGATTTTTAAGTATAAAATTACATTGCTCAGAAGACAAGATTTCATACTAACAGTAGCTTGTTCTATTTGAAAAAGTTAAAGCCTAAATAATAAAAGAATAAGAATCAAAATTTTCCATTAATACTTTACGTCAAAAAGGTTTTCATAACCAACTTTTTTACATCCTAAACATCTGCACATTTGTTTTTAGCATATTCTATTATTATGAGGAAACCCTGGTGGCGCAGTGGTTAAGAGCTATGGCTGCTAACCAAAAGGTCGGCAGTTTGAATCCACCAGGTGCTCCCTGGAAAACCTATGGGGCAGTTCTGTTCTGTCCCATAGGGCCGCTATGAGTTGGAATCGACTCAACAGCAACGGGTTTGGGTTTTTTTCTTTTTTTAATTATTATAAATACAAACCAATCATTAAAAGTACATTGAACTAGAACTCAAAAAAATTTCCCCGCTCTCATTTACCTTTTTTTATTTTCATTCTAAAAACTATCAAGATGAAACCAAAAACCAAACCCACTGCTGTCAAGTCGATTTCTACTTATAGCGACCCCATAGGGTTTCCAAGGCTGTAGATCTCCACATGGAAGCTGACTACCACATCTTTCTCCTGAGGAGCCGCTGGTGGTTTCGAATCACCAACCTTTCGGGTTAACGGTCGATCACTTTAACCACTACACCACCAGGGCTCCCTATCGAGATGAAAATAGTACTAACAGCAATGAGAAGAAGGATGACTGCTGTCATGTATGCCATTCTTCACCTCCCCCTTGTGAAGTCACCACCAAAAAGTGGGTGGAAAATACTGCTTTTTCTTCGTTCAGGTGTTAAAAATAAAATATTGCTCATTAAAAAAAGCACATAGTAAACATGAACTATGTATCGACCCCAAAATGGGATATACTTACATTATGATAAAATAGAAAGTGGATTAAACAGCAATATATAAACATGTACAACCTATACTATTACTAAATTTTATCATTATACATATAAATTTTGATACAGTATAAATTTTACTTTTAAAATATTCTGAAACTTAAAAAGGAGGGGAAGGAAGACTGCCATCAAACACGCAAATTCTTAAATAAAAAGTATTCAAGACATTATTTAATAACACTTGTTCTTTCCTTAGTTTAGTATCACTGGTGATTACAATTTAAACCAAGATAAATTAACTTAGTGTTAAGAAAAGGTATCACTTTGGCAGTTCTTCTGGGTTGCACTGTGTTGTCCAAAAAGATAGGTTGAAATCCTAACCCACAGTACCTGTAAACGTGAGCTTATTTGGAAATAAGTTCTTCGCAGATGTAATCAAGTTAAAATGAGGTCATAAAGGATAGGCTGGGCTCTTATTCAATGACTGGTGTTCTTATAAGACAAAGGAAATTTGGACACAGGGACCAAGTGACCACTGATAATGAGACAGGAGTAAATGCAAGACAAGGAACACCAAAGACTTCCAGAAGTCACCAGAAGCTATGAGAGAAGCATGGCACAGATACTCTCTGAGTCTTCAGAAGGAACCAACACTGTCAACACCTTGATTTCGGACTTTTAGCATCCAGAACCGTAAAAGAATACATTTCTATTGTTTTAAACCACCCAGTTTGTGGTAGTTTGTTACAGCAGCCCTAAGGAATGAACATAGCCCTGTTTTTAATCTAAGGCAAAGAACACAAATTTTAACTCAGAAGAGAGTGCAGAACAAAAAGCAGCAAGTCAGATTAAAGACAATAATTGAAATCTTCTCTAAGTGATACTAGAATGTTTTCACAGCTTTTTCTCAGTACTTTCTCAAATAAGGTAAGGCTTATTAAGAAGTTCTGACTCTTTAACTAGGTGGTCTCCTAAGCTGCTTCTGGGGAAGGAGAGAAAAATTAAAGTATTCCTAATAACACTATCCTAATTATGTAAATTATTTCTTGGGAATAAATAGGCATTTTCTGCAGTGTGACCCTTAAGGTCTGTTCGTTCTTAATTGTATAACGGAAGTTTAATATCAGATGATATTACAGCCTTGGAAACCCAGTCTTACTCTGTTCTATAGGGTCACTGTAAGTCTGAATAGACTAGATGGCAACAGGCTTGGTTTTTTTAATTCCATAAATAAGAACAGTATGAGATGTGAAGCATTTCATGATCTGGCCCGTTTTCCTGTTCAGCCCCCAATTTTACCACCTTCTGCCTTGCAACTCCCACCATTCTGAGCTGCTGCTGTTGTAACTGTGCTGCACTACCGATGCATACTATAGTTACCTTATTTACCCAAGCTTATTTTTCTATGATGTACTTGTAGTCCTTATATATTTTGTTACTAAGTACACTGGCGTTTTTTGACCAGCTATTTGTAAGCTGAGGAAAAGGTTTATAGAATAGACAAATATATTAACATTTTAATAATAAGAATTATTTCTAATGATCAATCCTATTTTAACTTTAACATAGTTTAATTTAAAAAAAATTAGACTGGTGGTCCAAGTCCCAA